TAATAAGGATAATACCACGTAGGTTTTTAAAGATTAGAATTTAACTTGGCGCCTACTATTGATATCAAATCTTTTATACAAATGATACATGTCATTAGAATTAAGTAAATAAGGATAATATCACGTAGGTTTTTAAAGATGGTTCTACTAAACAGCAAATGTGATTGGTCAGTTTCACAGTCGATTAAGTAATTGACGTTGGTGAAACTGGCCCAAATGGTTTTCTGACCAGCAGCACTCACTCTTAGCGCTTTTTTTACCTTTTTTTTTAAAAAGGTAAGTTTATATATACGTACAAAAGATACATGTCATTAGAATTAAATAAGTGTATGAGGATGGTACCTCTTAGATCTTTAGAGATAGAATTTTTAAAGACTAGTTCATTAAACGATATATTTTATGGGAAAAATCCATATTATATGACAAGATAATGAAATAAAAGAAGGAAGGATGTGCTATTGAAAGGTAATGAAATACCATGAAAAATGACTCATATATTATTGAAGGTGCCAGGTTCATCATAGTAAACATACACCAACAGTTGCCAACTTTACGTCTGACTTGAATACCTTATTATGTACGCTAAGGTTTTTTTACCATTTCATTATCTTCCTATAATAAAGATGTATTACGTTAAAGTAGACAATATGGTAAAACAATTTAATAACAATTCCTTTGAAATTAATATTTATCTTTTTTGTGATTCATTTTTAAAATATAAAAAACTGTTATTTTGATCACATAGAACACTATATTTGATTCAAGACTTTGGAGTACATAAGAATTCTTTTGAATTAATACTGATTTTATGTGATTCATTTTTGAAAAGACTGTTATTTCTATCTCTCACCTAGAACACTATATTTGATTCAAGAGTTTGGAGTTAACACATGTGTGTGAGTTAACCAGTTTTCAATCACGTGTATCTTCATAAGCATACATTTACAAAATATTATTATAATTAATAACTAATATTGTTAGGATACTTTATTACCATGAAAAATGACTCATATACTATTGAAGGTGCCAGTTCAAAGTAAACATACATAAAGTATATATTCTTTTGTTGTATATATACGAAATAATAATGATTTAACATTATTATTATATACATCTAGTGTGCATGTGTTGTTAAATCATTATTACGTATCTGGAGACACGGTAGTGTCTCGGCGCTAAGCCAAGCGCGCGACACTGCCGTGCCTCCTTTACGCGAAACAGAGAATTTTTCGGGGTCGAGATGATCAGATCTCAGTAACGGCTGAACCGATCAAGTTCTACATACGCTCAATCGACAGGAAATACTTAAATTGTATGATAAAAGTGCTTTCATTTTTCTTCTACATGCCCTACGAGCGGAGATATCGCGATGCGATGTCCGAATCTGTGAATTTTTACGTTTCAATTTTAAGAAACGTCGTTATTAACGTCGTCAACCAGAGAGAAATGTACGTCTCGTTTTTTCGATAATAGAGGGCCTTTGACTTTATGTGTTATCTCACTCTATCTATTCTATCATCTCACTCTATCTATCTATAGCTAACCAGCAGACCAGTGTTGCATGGTGTATCACATACGACACGCGCGCGGTTTTAATCTTATAATTAAAAATAAAATATTATCAATATAATATAAAATTTTTATTAATTATATATAGGGTTGGCCATTTTAATCTCCCCACCTGAATTTCTCGAAAACTAAATCCTGTAGACAAAAATGTTTCAAATAAAAATGGAACGGTCGAGGGGGACACGTTTTAGTCACGTTGTTTTTTTTCTAAGTGTAGGCGCTAAAAAGATATGAAGGTCACCTCCACTTTTTTAAATGGAATTATGTAATTTTTTTTAGATAACGTGATTTCTCTAATTATTTTGCATATAAAAGTATTAAGGTAGAGATACCAAAAAACCAATAGTTTTCGAGATATTTTACACTTTATTTTGATACATATTGACACAAAATGTTAAATAACTCGTAAACTGTTGACTTTTTGATTATCGTACCTTAATACTTTTGTGAACAGAATAATGAGATAAATCAAATGGTGTAAAGAAAACACATAGTTGCGTATTTAAAAAATTATCCATTTTGTATACATATTTTTTTTAAAGCAACTATGTGTTTTCTTTACACCATTTGATTTATCTCATTATTCTGTTCACAAAAGTATTA